AATTACCCAATGTATGTAAACTGCTCTGTTTCTTCTTATATGGAGTCAGGGAACCAGACTACAGAAAAATGATTGTTTTTCTTGGGTTTTATTGCATTTTTGAACCCAAAACCTCAAAAGGTCAGTGTAACTATATTTGCTATATATTTCCAAACCCCCCAATTCCATTCATTTCTGAAAATTACAGCAAAAGCAAATGATGTATATTCCCTTTAAGTTCATTGAAGAAAATTCAGTGATGTCACAGATATGAATAATCATGAGACAGTCACTGACTTACCCAACCTTGTTCCCATGGGTACGAGATCTTTCTGCGCCATGTTGCTTCCCATCATGCCTTGCGCGATCTTAACCCCTGGAATTGTGTAATTTAAATTTATCAAAATATGGCACATTATACGGTAATTAGGCAGAAGTTTTTCCGTTTGACGTGCCGACGCCATCTTTAAAATGTTAAATATTGTGATTTTAAAGAATCCATCCTTTCAAACATAAGGTTTGGACATTGCGTTATTTAGCAAAGATTTGTATTGAATGTATCAATCTTCGAAATGCACGCGCAGTACTCTCTGAAAAGCCAGTCAGCATCATTTATGTGTACATCACAGCCAGGGGTTAGTGAAGGAACGCGCACGCGCCCATGGAGTCGAGGCTGTGACTTACCAGACGAAATCTGACAGAAAAGTCATCAAAACTTGCCCAACTTTCAAAGTTGATTCAAATTAGACAACTTCACATCTAAAGAAGCTACATAATTATTTAGTAAAACGTTCTAATAATATAAATTACTTTTTAGAAGTCTCAGTTTGCTAGAAATAATTTTAGAACTTTCAGCCAATCAGAAACGTTTTAAGCGCTGCTCAAATGGCAGCCATGTTGGATTTTACCATCACGCTATTTATAGCACAGCTGACATGTGTAAACAAACACGTGAGTGTACACACAGAATTTCGGCAGGAAAATACTCAAAACTACCTAAAAGTAGTACCTGAAAAGACAACAGGAATTTTCTAGACAAAAATGCCAGATCTCTAGGAGGATATATGTAAGATTTAGAGTAATAAAACTTAAGTAAAAAGTGGGATTTGGGGGCATTTTCGTCACAGGATGATCCGGAAACCTAGTGTGAACTTGTACCATGTTACGAAGATGTTCTAAATTTTGTTACGTCATCATGACGTCATCAAGTAGCAAGTTACAAGCAATTTCAGGGCAAATTCTGACAAAATAGTTTGCGCTGTATCTTTTGAATTACATAGAGTATCGTGTTCGTTTTTTCGTGAGGTTGTAGACTATGCCGTGAGAAACATTTCTTGTTCCAGACACAAAACCGCTTGACCTTCACTTCCGCTGTTACCGGAAGTGCAATAAAAACCGAATGCAAGTCAAAAGTGGAAGCATTTTACTACACACATATTATGAAAGTGAGGAATACCAGACACAAAAAAAGTGTGATGACGTCATCATCCGAAAGGGCGCCCCCTAGCGGCACATCAAATAGAGTTTTCTTTCTTTAATTTTAGAATTTGAAAAGGATCATATTTTTAATTTAATTCTATCATTTGATCCCTGTCATATCTTCGTAGTCCAAGTAATGATATCCATTACAATGTTCACGTTTGGATAACTCGAATGCTGTGACGCCATCAAATCGGAAGTTAGGTGTTATTAATACAAACAATTATTTTTCCCATATTTTCATACGTTTTTTTCACTTCACAATGAAAATGCATCCTCTCCGAACTTTATCAGTATTCACTTAGGCCGAGTAAAAAAAAAAAAAGTTTCTCGTCCGGGTTTTTGAAAAATAGGAGGAAGAGGGGCTTTTTATTTTTTATTTTTTATTTTTTTCAAGATGGCCACCATTTTAAAATTCCTGCAACTGTTGGTGTTTCCACTTTTCAAAGACACTTTTAAAATGAAAGACAAGTTGGACAAGAGAACTGGACATATTTACAGTGTCCTTTAGAGTTGTATTGGTCTACCAAGAACAGTTTTAGATGCATTTGCTTTAACCGCCAAAAGTCGCGAGCGAATTCTTTAACTCTTTTGCTACGGAATTTAATTTACCTTTTTCGTCCCAACTGGACGTAATTAAAAGCTGAAAATTCCGCCGAGCGTCGATGTGGGCGCCACCATCTTTGAATGTATCTCCGTAAACAAACTGCTCACAATAACAACAAGCGCACCCCGGCCAGATGGATAGCCGCTGGCAGCGGCTCAAACTAGGGCCAGAGGTTATACGATATAAATTATGTAGATAAGGCCCACGTTATGGGGATACCATGTTTATTCATTGCGACGCAACCGAGCCGCTGCCAGCGGCTCTCCGTACGACCTGTACAATTTGTATGTGCCGCTGTCAGCGGCTCGCCGTAGCGAATTCTTTAAACACATGCTCCAGCGTGAGCTAGTCTCATACCGGTTGCATTCTGGCTTTGAAGTCATCATTTACCGCATACAGTACGGCAGACAGATTCCGGTTGAATTTTCAAACGACTGTAGTCTAAAACTATCAATAGACATACATGTACGTAGTCTGGTTCCCTAGACCTGACAATTATTCCTGACGCTCACGTCTCAGCCTCGACTCCATGGGCGCGTAGATTCATCAGGAGTAGTCAGAATCTTTTGGTCTGGGAACCAAGTGGGTGAGTTGTTGTGAACTCGCCATGCTCGCACTGTCACAGGGGTAGCGATCACACGTCAATATTATGTGGTGTACAAAGTGACTGACAGAGTGTATACTGAAAACTTCGACTCACATATTTCGCAAGTATTTATTTTCCGATGAATTTGTGGACTTTTTCAGTGTTTTTACTGCATTTTTCAAAAAATAAAAAATAATAAAAAAAATCCAGGCGGCCTCCAAAAAGGAAGCGGGCAGAGACGAGAAACTTTTTTTTTTTTTTACTTTGCCTTACGGCTTTTGACTGATGATGTCATCAAATCAGAAATAACTTTTTTGCGCACATAGAATGTTTACTGAAATTTATCACACTATTAAAGATACATTTTTTTAACATAATCATTGATTGTACTGGAAGGGAGTTAATTTCGTGAACCTTTGTTCTACATAGACATATATTCCTAACTTAACTGGGCAGTGTATAACAGTTCAGTTTGTTCTTGGTTTTCAATTGGAGCATCCACAAATATGTGAAACCGGCTGAATGAGAATCATGTCCCAATGCTGATTTGGGGAATGTGTCCTGAGAGGGCGCAATTCAAAATATGACTCGGCAACTTTGGCATTTGAGATTCAGAATATTGTGTTTATGTTTGTTCATTTTTCTCGAAATAAAGAGCATTCATAGAGCCAAAACCTCATTAGGTTAGTTATTAAGCATCCTTGTTTAGATTTTGAGCACTAGTTTGCTGGTTGAAATGAAATTAAAAAAAAAATCACAAATTACACGGTTTAATTGCCAAACACGCTTTCAAGAACACGCTGCAAGAAACAGCTGTCGTATTGCAACTCGTTGTAACTTATTTTCAACTGTTGCCGTAGCTTCCACTGTAGAAACACGATGTAGAAAACAGAATACAATTTATTGCTTTCAAGAGAGAACTGCACAAAGATAGAAAATGTTTCATTTCCTTATGATTAACTGTTATTCCTGTTTTGTTATTTTTGCTCAAACAGCTGATTGAAATCAACCAGTCTGAGTTAGTTCTCTTAGTTGGGGAGTTATTTGGGTGGTAACGAAGCAGTGGACCAGGCAATCAATCGAGCACACCATTGAGACATGGATCAACCTCCACTGATTGACGGAGTTGTGCTGACTAAGATTGACACCATTGATGATAAAGTAAGTAGCAAGTTTATGTTCTGCATGGGCTTTGACCTTGGTTTGATTCCTCTTTTGTTCCATGGTGTAGCCTTAGTTATCCTTGAATGAATTGAAAAGTTTTTGGTTCATATCCTCTGCTTGATCCTCTGTTCTATTGACCCTGAGTCTTTGTACCCCCAGGTGATGATAACGCGACGCCATGTCCAGTCATGCAATGTCAATTCAGTTTGAGAGGTAGTCTGGTAAAAAAGGATGGTTGAATCATGACATTACACTTTCTAACAAATTTAAGAATGTGATGACAGAATTTCAGAAAGTTGACTGGATATCGCCGCTAGGCATCATCATGCAGTTTGACTTCTCGTTGGTGCCGTGCAAGCGTGAAAGTAAGGTTGTGATGCAAGATGTTTTCCTAGGGATATTTACATTGGGACGATGATGTTTGATGAATAAGATCATTTGGGAGCTCGTTTCAGTTTTCAATCGTCTTTGGGAACAAACTTTTGTGGTACGCTTGTGTGCGGCATTGCAAGGAAGCGTAGCGCTGATTATGTCTATTTCTTTGTGGTCGTTCTTCTGGGGTGATGTAATAAGGGATGTTAAGGGCAATTTCTTCATGGATGGAGCGGTAAAGCATAGTGACCCTGCTGACTGTTCTGCAGTGTTGGAGGCATGGGCTCACAAAACCAAGTGTTGTATTAGCTCTGCTTGCTATTTGATGGATGTGAAGAGACCATGACAAATCTTTTTGAATTTCAACTCCAAGGTATGGATGGTTGGGTACAACAGAAAGGTTGGCATTCATCAATCTGTAGATATTATCATGATGATTTTTATCCCTCAGCCGAGAGGCTCGAGGGGTATTGTCATCACCTAGGGTGTCCGTCCGTCCGTATGTCAGTGCGTCCGTCTGTCCGGGTAGCTTAGTTTCCAGATGATAACTTGAGTTAGAAATGTTGTTTGGGGTTGTAACTTCGGTAGAGGGTTGCCCTTACGACCGCGATAAGACTCCTCTGAGCACAGGCTTCGTTGCCCCCCTGGTCGCTTCATTGGAGCTAACAATCGTTCGTGGTACAAGGGTTGATATACACGAATGCACGAACAATCATACATTTCGCATGCGCAGTAACCCCCCAGCTGTTATTTTCATGCGCCATCTTTTCTAGCGAATGCGGTGAAAAATTCTCGATCTTCTGATGTTTAAATGGGAAATACATCGATCTTTCTTTGAATGACATATTGAGAGGTAAGGAAAATTATGAATACATATTTTATTGATTTTGACGCATTTCCGACAAGTTCCGACGGCTGAAACTCAAAAGGTTGCATCGGCAGGCTGTATTTTAGCCATTCGTTTGTGTACTTAAGGTGTGCAGTCCCGTGCAATATTTTTACCGGACTTCGTTTTCGACCTTCCAATTTTTTTTAATATGTATTTTACGCGTTGCTACGAACATTGTTTGGGGAAACCACTGGGAAACAAACATTATTTTACCCTCTAGAAGGCTATTTTTTAAAGACCAATCTCGTTACAAAACTATATTTTTAGTCATGACACAGTGATGAATTTTTTTTTTATAATCATGATTGAATGATAATGGCAACAAATATTTCAAATGTTTTAAATAATTCTTATTAACGTTAATTGCTGAAATCTTTGTTTATTTTGGATTGGGATTTAAAAAACAATATTTGGTTACGACAATGGTTACAGAACTATATTTCACTTCATTACTTAATTTTAATTTTTTTATTCTTAAATCTAAGAATCTTTGATTTGAGAAGTTAGATTTTTTGAGGGCAATGCACATCATTGTCTGATTGTTTAGTCTCTGTTTAATTTTTTTAACTACAAATCAACACTTTCACCATTTACACCATTTTTTAATCGGAACATGTACTTCAAGTTCTGCATGTTCAATTCTTAATTACATACGTTTTTATTTTTTTTTTCTTCTTAATTGTGACATTTCAGTTAACTATTTTCTTTAAACATAATTTTTTGTGGTTCATTTTAAGATTTAAAATAAAGTTAAAAGGAATGTAATGATTATTATTTTATTTATGTATTATTTTTTATAAGGACGTGCAATTTCGCTTTAAAGCATTTCCACTTTCCAAGCAAATGTTAGAATACTGCACTGAGAAGCATTGATCCATTTTTTTTCCCTATTATTTTCTGTCTATTTATTGCATGCAGATGTCAGGTCCAGAGTTGCAAGACTTGTGTAGATTATGTGGGGTTTTGAGGCGTTCGGAATCACATCGAAATCCTACACGGAAGGAGGATGTTTCGAAAATTATTCGAGCTGGCCTGAACATCAACGTAGAAGAAGATGTCACTGGGATTCATCCACCCTACATTTGCCGACCGTGCGAGATGAAGTTGCGGAGATGGTGGGATGCAACAAAGAAAAAGAAGAAGGCCTCCCTCAACATCAAAGTTTCTAATTTTCCAAGGGGTGAAGGGATCTCTTCACAATCGACCACGGCCACGTTGGCGAAAGTTGAATGGGAGGAAGCAGCTCGAAGTGCAGGCCTCAACACATGGTTGACAGATAGTCGTCTTCAAGTCATGAAGATGGATGGTGAGGGTATGCCCTCTGTGTTTTTTACAGTATTTGATGACTGTACGTGGCGTTTGATTGTAGCCGGTATTGTTGCACAAGGGGACCTTCCCGTCTGTTGTGGACACCCAAGGGTTCTGAGTGTGGAAGATTTCCAGGATATGCTGCGGAAGTTGTCTTCACTATTTGTTTGTGAGGGAAACAAAGATCTTCATGGCGTTGTGGAGGCAAGGAAGGGGGCAGAAGGTCAGATGCCAATCAGGATTACAGCCAATGACATCTACTGTCAGGGGACAGTTAGACACATCAAATGTCTCCTTCTTAGTAATAGGCCCCGGTGTGATGTGTGCAGGATTCATCGGAGTGACTTGATGGTCCTTGCAAGTCGGGAGAAAGGAAAGTTGTTCAAGGATGTGTCCGTCGATTCCACAATTCCAAACAAGAACTTGACAAATCAACAGCTTCAACAGAAAGTGTCCCTTCTGCAGACCGAAAGGAGAAACCTGAAACGACGAAGTCTAGCCTTGAAGGACAAAGTAGCCTCCCTGCTGGAAAAGGAGAATGTGGCGGTTGATGGAATTCAGCATAAGCAGTTATCAGCGACAGTAGGTGACTGTGATGACGAGATGAAGAAAATCCTTGGGTTGAGCTCCCCAGCAAGGCTGTTATGGGAACAGCAAAAGGAGTCGGCTCTGAAGGGCAAACAGATGCGATGGCATCCTGCCATTATCAGATGGTGCATTGCCCTTCAGAGCAAGTCCTCAGCAGGGTATGGTCTTCTTCGTGATTCAGGCTTTCTTAAGCTACCCCACCCGAGCACGCTGCATTCATACAGCCATTTTGCCAGCCTCACTACAGGGTTATATGCCTCTATGCTTGCCAGGATTTATCAGGACTGGCATCTGGAGACGGTTCCTGAGTTCGAACGCAATGTGTCTCTTCTATTTGATGAAATGAAGGTGAAAGCAGGCTTGGCCTTCTCTGTGAGGTCTGGGAAAATCATGGGTTTCACTGATTTGGGGAGTGTGGCCAACGAGATTGCTGCTTTTGAAAGGAGGTGCAGAGGAGACGAGGAGCCAACCATAGCAACTCATGTCATGGTTCTGATGGTGAGGGGCATTTTCAGTTCTTTACGTGCTCCAGTGGCGTATTTCCCAACTACCGGCATCACAGGCGACCAGTTGTACCCGTGCATGTGGGAAGCTGTTTTGTGGTTAGAAACAGCTGGGCTGCAGGTTCGGGGTTTGGTGTCCGATGGAGCCTCTCCAAATAGGAAATTCTATCGGTTACACGGAGAGAGTTCTGAGACGAGTGTGCCAACGTATTGCACTCCGAATCCCTTTGACCCCAACCGGAAAATCTTTTTCCTGTGCGATGTTCCCCATCTGCTGAAAACAACAAGGAACAACTTCGAGAATTCGGGATACAATCGGCAGACAAGGACACTCTGCGTGAGTTTCATGTTTGTTTTATTTTGTCTTTCATATTTTGTATATTAACAGCAAGAAAATAGAAAAAAAAATCTAAACAGAAATCTATTTGAAGGAGTGCTTGGGTATGGGATGCTGAAATTGTTTAATCATACAGTAGTCCCCACATGCATCAAAAAGGTTGTAATTAAAAAGAAACTATAAATTTTTGAGAATTGTTTACAAAATCCAATTCAGAATGCTCTCTGTGGTCCATAGAATAGTTTGTTGCAAACAACTAAGTGATATTTGCGCTATTAAGTACATCTATTTATTTTGTGGGCTGTGTTGTGTATTTCTTTCATAGTACCATAAGCAAGACATCAAGTGGACGCAACTCCTTCAGTTGTATGAGTGGGATGTCGGCTTGGATCGCCATTCACCGGGTCTCCGTCGCCTGCACAAGATAACCTATGAACATCTGCACCTAACTCCGTCCCTCAGAATGCGGGTGTACATGGCTGCACAGGTAAGCTTTTAATTGACGTGGTTTTGATTTTACCAATTAATCTCCGTACTAGTGCCAAAAAAAATGATTTAAGTTATTGCATGATTGAACACATGCTTAAAAATCCCCCTTTTAAAAGCACTCAAAACATGGGAACCCCAGAAGGTCATAAACTCTGAAGTTGCACATTTTTACAAAGCAAAGCCGTCATCAAAATCTATTGGGATTTTTTTGTTTTAGAAATTAAGAAAACAGTTGCAGCGTTGAAGTCTGTTGGCCCACTGGTGGCAACATTGTTTATGCTAAGGTGGCAACTGTACCGTCACAACCTACAGTTCCAGTGTGTACAGACAGTGAAACAGGAAGTATAATCATTCTAATTGATTTTTAGGTTATGAGCTCCACGGTTGCCAACACTCTTGATGCACAGACGAAGGCAGGCAAGGTTGGTCTGGAGTCCACCATCAAATTCATCAGATACATTGATGACTTCTTTGACTGCCTGAATGTCTCCAATGCCTATGATTACGCTCGCCTCAGGAAGCCCAACTTGGAACCTTACATCAGTGCTGAGGATAAAAGATTTGACGTAAGTAGAAGATGTCTCAATGAATGCCAATTGTTGTGTTACTTTAACTGTCTTGTATTACCACAGTGATTTGGTATTACATTTATAATTTTCAGATGATTTCATTTTTTGTCAACAGTGGCTGATGCACGACTTCCTTGGTTTCCTTGATGAATGGGAGGCTGAAGTCGAGTCACACCCAGCCCTGGATAAGACAGCCAAGGCGAAGATGATCCTCAGCAAGGAAACTCTCAAGGGGATGAGAATAACAGGTTAGATCAACAGTGTTTTAGAAACGGTACCAATAACTGCCATCAATCCATCCTGTGTGTGTTCAATACCATATACATTGTGAACTATATTTCCAATGAATGCAGTTAATTGTAACTGTAAAACTTCAAAGTAGAATGTCACAGTCTTGTTTTATTTTACGAAATCTGTGAGCAATGGTTTGCTTGAAACATTTCCCTTTTTGTTTTAAAGTCATCTCTGCAACAAGGTCGTATCTCCTAAAATTGCACTTACACGAAACTCCAGTTTAATAATGTCAAAAGGTCGTATCTCGCTTAAAATAACCCGGATGTGCACACAAAGTAAAAGGACGTCGCAATACAACCTTTGTTGCACTGACACGACGACATGTAAATACACAGTCGGGACCAAGGTTTTTGTTTGCTGTAACCAGGGAGGACGGAATTCCTTCCTTCCTCCATGCATGCTGTACCTAAAAAGTTTGTCTTGACATTGTTTGTACAGTGTATGCATACATGTGTACACGACAGTTGGCTCTTCAAAGTTTTAACACAAATCCCTATTTTGGATTTTCTGTTTCAGTGCATTCATTTGTTGAGCTAGGGAGGCTGCTGCTCAAGCTTCCTGGTGTGACTTTTCTTCTAAGCGAGAAATTTAATCAGGATCCTTTGGAGCAGTATTTTAGCAAGCAGCGTGGCACAGGTGGCTGCAGCGATAGCCCGACCGTCGAGCAGTTTGGTCATAACATGCAGGCCCTGTATGTTGCATCCAGCTGCGTCAAAGCATCTAAGAGAGGCAACTGCAAAGTACAGGGTGCAGATGAAGTGGCTGCTCTTGATAGCACACCTCTTCCTCGGAGAAAGTAAGGAAAGAATGTAGTATCCAGATGCCACTTCAGCGGTTGTGTACAAAGTGTATGGAGAGTTACAAAAAAAATCGTGTATTTCCTTACAATATTGGAAAGTTTTCTCTGCCCCAGATTCATGGCTTTTTAACATTTTCATAATGACTAACCATTATTGAGATGATGTATTAAGAAAAAAGTGGCGCCAGGTTGCAACATTCTTTCCCAAAATAATGTTTTATATCATGCATGATATAGAGACCAAATTTTTCTCACATTGGGTAAAAAAAATACAGTGCAAGGACTGCAAGATTTAACATCTGATACCGTCAAACTGAAACATCAACGGTTTGGTGCTCATTTCAATTCTTTCGACTTTAACGTATGCTTCCAATAAGCCTAAAATGTTCAGCTTTCTTGTGTAGTGTATGCCAATTATGATGAACCCAAAAAATTGCCATTCCTCGTTGAGTTTTTTTAGGAGTCATATCATAAGTGGTTGCAGTAAACCTGTAAAATAACTGACACGCAGAATTTAAATAATTAAGAGGATCCTTCAGTTCATATTCCTTTTCTTTTAATGTGTCACTTTCTGCCACAGTTTGTACAGCATGGATTTAATTTTCATAAATTGTTTCATTGGCATGGTTACTCTGCAAAACTATACATTTGTAAATATCGGTAAGAGTAACATGGGAGTGTCATCTGAGACTTGAGGGATTGTACCAAGTCTGTCATATAAATGAATTCAAAGTATTGTAATACATCATACATGTAGCTATACAGTTTTCATTCCCATGTGTTATCACAGGGATAAAGTGATTAGAATCTTGACATTTCTTCTTGTACTACTGATAGAAAGCGAACATTCCAAAGGTTGATTTAACAAAATAGAGACATTTACAAATTAAATGATACCTTGCTGTTAGTGTTTGTTTAATTCAGTGAGTTTGAATGTTCATGCACTAGTATTGCGTGTATCTCTGTTTGGGAAAAAGCAATTACACGATGGCCGCTGCAATGAAAAGGATCGAAAATGTACAGAAGCACCATTCAAAATACATTGTACAGATGTAATAATAATAATAATAATGTGGGTATTAAAGGGAATATACAACATTTGCAAACATCGAAAAATAAAACTACCAAGTTTTTGCGAAATACCTTAATAGGATGTTAGTAAATGACAGTCTAAAGCATCCTGTAAAATTATGGCACCTGGTATACTGTCATTTTCAAGAAAAGTGGTATTTTTGTATCAATTTCCAACGCTGATCGGCCGATCAGCGTTGGAAACAACTGGCTTTTTTTTCAAATACTGGCCCCAATTGACCATCGCACTTGTTTACAATCGATTACAAACCTATGAACGGGTACGAGCCAGCTAGACTGGTTCCCTAACCTTACAATTCCCCAATGTATGTAAACTGCTCTGTTTCTTCTTATATGGAGTCAGGGAACCAGACTACAGGAAAATGATCGTTTTTCTTGGTTTTTATAGCATTTTCGAACCCAAAACCTCCAAAAAGTCAGTGTAACTATATTTGCTTTATATTTCCAACCCCCCAATTCCAACCATTTCTGAAAATTACAGCAAAAGCAAATGATGTATATTCCCTTTAAGTACAGGGAATATTAAAGGAGGAAAAAATATGTCACATTGCATCTACAAAGGCATGTTTGCGATCAAACCTTTATTAGTATACATGTACATGTACATGTATTAATGATACAATTACATTAACAATGAATATGTACAGCACTTGTACTTCGATGCTGTCAGCTGTCAGCATTGAAATGTTATTGCATATCTGTAAAACTTTCGAGTATCGCTACTTGTACATCAAATTCCCTTTAATACTAAATGAAACAAAAAGCCACCTAGAATATAGTAATGCATATTGTGAACTGGTGTATCAGCTTGTTGGGTAGCATGCTTACAATTACAATTGAGACATGGAATCCAGACACTTGATTTACTTGCAAAGTACGATGTACATGTATCAGAATTTACAGATCCTTACGCAGAGCTTTTTCTGCTTTTTTCCCAACATTCCCATGTGTTGCTTTCTTCAAGTTTAAATACACATTGATGAAAGCTTTTGCTCTGATTTTTATCCACTTCTTCACAGTCATGTTCAGTAAGTTTGTTGAAGTGTCCCCTGTTATCTTTCCTTGTGTTAGACTACACCAGTAGGTTTGTACTCGATGACTACCTTTAATATTGTTCAAAAGCGTGCTCTGAATATCACATCCTTGAAATGTTTTTAGATTATTCTTGGTCAAATACTTGCATGTCTCCTGCTCCATGGCTCGGAACAATAAATATACCCCATCAGACACACGAAATAACCCACCACGATTTTGTTTATCAATCCAGTCGTTTGTGTATTGGAGAAATGTCCTTGCAGTTTCATCACTACAGTCTACTTTCCAGGATTTAAGGAATTTACAGTATGTCATAGCAGTGTCATTTTTTTGTTTATTTAAGTTTTTGAACAGAGAAAATGGAATATATCCAGATACATATCTCAAAACCTGTTCCTCCTGAGGACTTAAACTCTCAGACTTTGTTTCAGCTGGGTTGTCAATGGGTTTATCTTGTTTATTTCTATCTTCAATGATAGCCTGTAAAACTGCCTGCAATAGAAATTGGCAAACAAGGTGGACATGCTGCCCCTCTCTGTACAGTCCCATGGCTTGCAAAAGTTCTATCCACTTATCGTTTACCTCCAGTCTGTACTTGTGAAAGGCTCGCCAAAGAATCTCATAGCCTTCTGGTTTAAGATATTTAGAATCTCCGGCTGTTATGACGAACCACAATCCGCTAACTGTAGCCGCGCAGAAATCTTGCAATGCTTCGGTGTTGGTCTTGGCCATCAAGCTCGCGACGAGACTCAGCATGCAGACCGCGGTGGGGTAGACTCCAAGGCAGATTGGGTGCTGCTGCAGCTGCTGTAGTCCAGACATGAAGTAATGGTCAGCTTTCTGAAGTGCATCAGCTTCACAGAACTTTGCCTCGGGACGTTTTACAGCTATTGCAAACAAAATGATTGAAAAATTATATTATTTAAATATCATGAAATCTCAATAAGTCAAACTCTGATAACTTAAAACTCCTGTTAAGCCAAACAAAGAATATATTCCTTTCAGAAGTATAACAATGATACAACTTCTCTTAACTCAAAAGTCTGCTTAACTCAAATTTTGAGCTTGTTCCATTGAGATTTGCCAAATCGAGATTTTATGTAAATGTATGTACATGTACATAGTGTTTTGGAGATACAAATGCCCCAAACACATACATGTATTCAAAACATGCATTTCTGTTAAATGTTAAGAAGACATGAAGTATGAAGTACTTACCAGGCTTTGGAGGCTTTCAAGCTTTTTTGTCTTTTTTTGCAGATGGCTGTGCGTCTGTGGTCACTGCATCTGTAGTCTCAGATGTCTTCTTTGGTTTCTGTCTGGTTTTCTGAGAACGAGGTGGTCTTGAAACTGTAGGATCAGGACCAGGAGATGAATCTGTAGGGGAAAAGATTTTTAAACAAATAAGTCTTGGACATGTTGGATCAGATGCTCTGTAAAATAAAACGGTTCAAACTAAATTATAGGCCTACATCCATCTTTGTTAATCAAATTTCATATCTATATCTTTCAATTTTTTTTTATTGAACTATGGTGCTTGGCAAGTATTCAAGTGGGAATAAATATAAAAAAAATATTAACAACAATTGACACTAACGACAGCGAAAGAACTAAAGAAGGAATTATTTTTAGCCAAAATAAAAATACATGTCACAATTTTTCATGTTGACCAAAATCACTGAAGTGAAGTATTTTTTCTTTTGTTTATTTTCTTCGCTATACTTTTACCACATAGGCCTACCTATTTCTTCAGTCGTTCCAGGGAGGCATCGACTACAAACCCAGGTGTCTGGGATTGTATCGGCACAAACACCGGCGCAGCTATAGTGCCACCACACAACGGTACACTGATCATCATCGCACGCGATCATCTCCATGGTTGAAGGCTCCCCACACACACAATACTGCCGACCGTCATCTTCGGACTCGTAGTCGAGTTCTGCCACCTCATTTTCATCGAATTCTTCGTCAGAAACGTCGCTCAAATCGCTCAAATCGGAGCCTGTAACAAAATCGTCCTTACCGTGCGCCGCCATTTTACAACATGGCGCGGGCGCAGTACGCATGCGTGGCAATCCCATAATGCTTTGCGGCGAGTGTCCGGGCTGCGGTCGCGACCGCTAATTGATTTACTGATAGCGCTCGCGGGTGTTTATCTGATCTGGACTGCTGCTGTTTTTACGACCGCGGCAACGAACCCTGAACCTTTGATCCTATGGTCGTTCAAACTCCTGTTAATTCCTTCCTCCATGGTTAACCATGTTCTGATCCATGTCAAGGTGTTATCTCTAATCCCGTAGTGTTCTATTTTATGAAGTAATCTCTCATGGGCTACAGTGTCGAATGCTTTGCTGAAGTCACGCCCCTGCACATCTATCTGAGCTTTGTTATTTTGATCTAGGTGTAAATGGATTTCTTCCATGGTGTTTATGAGTTGGTTTTCACATGGGTACTTTAAGTGATTAAAGATATCTTCCACCTGTTGCTACTGTGTGGCTGTTGATTGTTGTATTGACCTGATAAAGTATTGTCTGCAAGTAGCTGGCATTGTCAAACAGCTGTGGCTACTGTGTGGTTGTTGAATGTTGTATTGACCTGATAAAGTATTGTCTGCAAGTGGCTGGCATTGCCAAACAGCTGTGGCTACTGTGTGGCTGTTGAATGTTGTATTGACCTGATAAAGTATTGTCTGCAAGTGGCTGGTATTGTCAAACAGCTGTGGCTACTGTGTGGTTGTTGAATGTTGTATTGACCTGATAAAGTATTGTCTGCAAGTGGCTGGCATTGCCAAACAGCTGTGGCTACCTTGTGGCTGTTGATTGTTGTATTGACCTGATAAAGTATTGTCTGCAAGTGGCAGGCATTGTCAAACAGCTGTGGCTACTGTGTGGCTGTTGATTGTTGTATTGACCTGATAAAGTATTGTCTGCAAGTGGCTGGTATTGTCAGACAGCTGTGGCTACTGTGTGGCTGTTGATTGTTGTATTGACCTGATAAAGTATTGTCTGCAAGTGGCAGGCATTGTCAAACAGCTGTGGCTACTGTGTGGCTGTTGATTGTTGTATTGACCTGATAAAGTATTGTCTGCAAGTGGCTGGTATTGTCAGACAGCTGTGGCTACTGTGTGGCTGTTGATTGTTGTATTGACCTGATAATGTATTGTCTGCAAGTGGCAGGCATTGTCAACCAGCTGTGGCTACTGTGTGGCTGTTGATTGTTGTATTGACCTGATAATGTATTGTATGCAAGTGGCAGGCATTGTCAAACAGCTGTGGCTACTGTGTGGCTGTTGATTGTTGTATTGACCTGATAATGTATTGTCTGCAAGTGGCAGGCATTGTCAAACAGCTGTGGCTACTGTGTGGCTGTTGATTGTTGTATTGACCTGAGTAATGTTATAGAGTGCAGCGCTACTAACTGGCGGCTCCTCATCATGCTCTCCACCAATGTACTGATTTCCTCTTTCTTGGCGGTTTTTCCAGTCATGTCTTCATGTCAAGTTAAACTTTAGCGCATACTTATCAATATGGTGAGCCAGAATATATGTAACATCTGGTTTGGGAGCATTTTAAGGGAGTTTTTCCTTCCTTTCCTGTGCATTTGGGGCTTTAGCAGTTTTTCTGCGCACCAAGACGTCAGGTATCTTTTGTGACTAGTAGATCACCTTCTGCTGGTAACAATTGGATGTTCCTCCAGCACCAGTGCAGCACTTGATATGCTAATGAACCAATGTTGTCTCCCATTTAATTCAACAATGCCACTGCATCTGCCAATGAACTCCTCAATGGCTCCTGCTTCATCCCAGCGAGTCAGATATTGGCCAATATACCTGCACTCCTTCAATAATGAACCCGATCTTTGCTGTCCATGTCCTCTTGCTGCTGAAATCTGCAGTGATATTGGACCCATAACATGTCCAATCCATCCACCATCCAAATCTTCTGGACTGATCACTGGCACCTGTTGTTTTTGGCGCACTCGTTGTGGATACAAGGCTGGGATACGTAGGCTCCGATCGACTTACTTCAACTTTGACATAACCATTGTAATTGGAAATCGCACATCAAGTCAAGACGGACCCCATCACCCTGATTACTTCAATCAAAATTCACCAGCCCGGTATGTAAATGCACACAAAACTTGGTTTATCCACATCAGTCAGTGACGGTCATACTAAAGCGTCAACATAGCGTCAACACAGCGTCAACACATCCAAAATGCATTGAAAGTGACAAAAGCAGTATGTAACCCATACAGTATGGACAGAAACAAGATTTTGGCATAAAATCAATAGGTTAAACGTCTGAAAATTGCAATTTTCAGTTCAAGAAAATTAGCTCTCCGTGCCGCTCTGAGATCGGCTGCCATGTTGCCTCAGTGGCAGCACGAACCATTCCATTATGCTAAAGGGTGAAAGCGTCGTTTAATAAACCTCAGTCCCTCAGTCTCTCACAGATCAGAGTGCATCCTTCTGCATCAAGGCGCCCTCTGTTGTAATGTCATAACCTACACACCACTACTTGAAATGGTATAATCAAAGCTTTGTGCAAAGTCCAGATGGCGGACAACGGCCGCGCAAGTTAAAGGTAATTTGTTTGCGTGAAAATACTATATTTTTAACAACTAAATGGAAACTTAATCCAATGGAAATGCTGTTTTATTCTATGCTTTGCCATTCTATACCTTTCTTGGTCAATTCAGAATGTGTTTTGGATGTGTTGACAGTGTGTTGACGCTTCTGTCATGTGTTGACGCTGTGTTGACGCTGTGTTGACGCTGTGTTGACGCTTTTTAGTGCGACCTGTCTGTGAGATCTAAACCCTCATAAACTCAAGCTAGACACTACCTTCTGCATGATTAATGCCCGGTCAATTCGGAACAAGACAACAGAACTTCTTGATTTTGTTTCTGAAAATCATCTTGATATCATTGGTATCTGTGAGACATGGTTATCCATCGCAATCTCCACAGCATTGATTTGAATCTCTTGTGCGCTGAGATTGAAGGCAACCATCTGTCGGCCCAATGCAGTGTTGCCAGTGTTGTAATCGAGTACTTTTTTCTGAGTACCGAGTACTGCCGAGTACTCAGGGATGTGATTTCTCCATTTTTTCCCGGAAATCCGGTTTTTGGGGGTTCAAAAGTCCACCAACGTGAATCGTGTGAATCTGTTGAGAAAATACGGGGGTAGAATGTGCTAATTAATTATTCATAATGAGTTTTGCTTGCCAAAATATCTGAATTTACTTACGGCCATTACTTCGTTAATCAATACGCACGCACATATTGAATAACCAATGCGAGAACGAGGTTGAAGCCCATGCGTTGCCGTTAGCGTGATCATGTGATTTTTCGCTCGGGTCCGAGTTTGTGATTATTTAGGTCTAGTTCCTGTGTCAGTACCCAAGATGCATGTGTTGCGCTGGTCAGGTGTACAGACTAATATTGCTCAGCATGCACAACGGCATACAGTACAGTGCAATCGTGTGGATTATGCACGTTGTTTCATGTGCGTCGAGTGTTTGTGTACGCGGCGTGTACGGATGCTTCCAACATGGCTGCGCCCAACAAGTCGATATTGTCGCACGGAGATAAATCAGTGCGAGAGCTTGATAAAGAAGTGAAAAAAAAGTTCCGGTTGGAATGATTTCGGGACTCCGTTATTATTGATGGGCATCAGCATGAATTTCAAGAATGTTTCGATAAAATAGCAACCGCTGGCAAGGTTTTTTGCAATGTTTGCAACGACACTATCAACTACACGTTGAGTGGAAAGAAATTGCTCGTATCCCATGTGAAACACCAGAAGCACATCATCATTGAGACTGATTAGTCTGGTGCTTCCAAAGATGGTATGTTCCATTCAGTTGTGGATGAAGCAAAACAAATATTTGTGTAGTATAATCTTGTTTTATTTATTTCTTCATGCTTTTACAATGGGTATTATTAATCACCATGGAGTAATAATAATTACAAATAAGTGACAAATCAATGATGATGGTGATGAACTGAAACAAAATGCAACAAAAGTGAAAAAAGAAATAACAAAATTGGCAAAATATTTTGGCTCAAATGATGGCCCAGAAAGGCTTAGATTGTACCACAGAGCATCTAAAATCCAAACATTTTAAGCGGGCCCCGGACCCCACGCCGTAATGGCTGACCATTTCAGCTGTTTGTCACGTCCAAGATTTCTTTGATTCGTGGTGCACTACCTCTCCTTGTGATACAGATACTTCTACCCCCACCCCGCCAACACAAACTACACTGACCAGTCTCCGTTCTGCCTCTCAAGATGAGACACTGCATGACCAGTCTCTGTTCCGCCTCTCAAGATGAGGTTTGCACTGTCATCTTCAAATCCCCAGCCAAATCATGTGACTTGAACCCTATACCATATCGTCAGAACCATAGTGTAGAAACATTACTTGTTCATCTGTCCGCGACCACATCCTACGACAGATGGATGTTGGCAAAGTAATGGCGCTTGTGCTTCTCGATCTGTCATCAGCATTTGACACCATAGATCACACCATCCTGATCAGTCGCTTGCACTCTTTGGGAGTGCACGATGCAGCCTTGCAGTGGTTTGACTCATACCTTGCAGACCGGCAACAGTCTGTTAACTTCAATGGAGTATTATCTGCCCCTGCCTCCCTTGACTGTGGTGTTCCTCAGGGATCTGTTGGCGGTCCCATGTTATTCACCATCTACATTTTACCACTCGACCAGATCATCCAGAAACACAACCTATATCACTGCTATGCTGATGACATACAGCTGTATCAATCCTTCAATCCATCTCAACCCAATGCTGTGTCTGCCCTGGAGAATCTTGAGGCTTGCATTGATGAGATCAAGACATGGATGATGACAAACAGTCTCAAATTGAATGACAACAAGTCTGAATTTATCCTGTGTGGCTCAAAATAACAACTCGCCAAGTTCTATATCACCAGCATTAGGACTGGAGATTGCCACATCAATCCTTCCACCAAGTGTTGCAACCTAGGTGTCACTTTCGACCCCCACATGTCCCACATTGATCAGATATCAGCAGTGTCAAAATCAGTCAGATTTCATCTCCGTAATCTTGTCTTCATTCGGAAGTATCTAAATCGTACGGCCACTGAGCAACTCGTCCATGCATTTATAACTTTGCGCTTAGATGTTTGTAATTCCCTCATGTATAACCTGCCACAACACCAAATCAACAAACTTCAATGCCTCCAAAATGCCACTGCTCGCCTCATCGCCTTAT